CTGCTATTTACACATAGCTGGCTAGGGGGAGAAGAAGAGGATTCATACCTTTCCCAAGGATATTAGCACATAAGTGAATGTGATGAATTTGATTGGAATTCAAACTTGGCTCTCCGATTCCACAATCCGAGTCACTATCCATTACTCCACCATGACTCCCACGGTGGAATAATGGATAGTCTCTCAAGATTATGGTAGAAAATCCAAAATAAACAGACAAGTAAGGAGTGAACAAAGTCTTAACAGTGAGGTTTCAGTTGAACATGCGGTTAGCAGCAAAAACGCATTATTAATAAAAAAAAAATCAGAATAGAAGACTGAAGTGGGATGCTGAGAAGTTACAAAAATAAATTTTAGAGATGATTACAAAATATTTATATTTTAATTCAAGGGGATATGTAAGAAGACAAAGAGAAGAAGGAGAAAAAACAATGCCAGATACACCATTAAGATGATAAAGTTGACACGTAATGAAAAGTGATGGTAGAAGAAAATTGGTAAAAATTGATGGAAGCATAAACAGTGAAGACCATATTAGTTTGCTACAGTCTAATATTCTGCTAGACTATAAAGATGGAGAAAATTTTCAGCATGATGATGCTCCTTACCACATCATGTGCAACAAAAAGGTTTCTTGTGGATCAAGATGTTCAAATTTTGAAAGACAGGCCAGCACAAAATCCTGATTTCAATATTATATGTCAGTTTCTTGCTTCCTTGTTACCTATATTCCTAAAAGATTTAAATGCAATATCAATCGCCATCTTCTGTCTTCCTGAATCCATTCTTTTATTGTCCTTTCTCCTCACTAAAGTCCTCTCATTCTCTTTCATTCCCAGTAATGCCTTGCATCTTAGTGGCATTATTGTCTTTCTTGAGGTGAAATGAATACTAAAAAAGATTCATATATAAAGGACCTCCAATCGGTTGTGGACTGAGACAGAAATTGGCTGGTTAATTTTAATGCCTCAAAAACAAAACTGCTCTCTATTACTCACCACAGAGAACCATCCCTGCCCCCCACCCAGAATGTCTGACGCTCAACTCTACAAGAGCACCTCTTTGTGACTGCTCGGTCTCACATTGACTGCCGACCTGAGATGGAAGAAACATATTGGGTCAATAGCTTTGTCCAATGCAAGGAAAGTTGGCTCCCTGTGCCGTGCCATGAAATTTTCCTCACTGGAGTCAATCCTTCAAATCTACAAATCAACCATTCGCCCTTGCATGGAATATTGCTGCCATATATGGTCTGGAGCCCCTTCTGTTTATATCAAGGTCCTTGATAAAATCCAGAAATGGATATGCAATGTAATTGGCCTTGATCTGACATCTTGTCTGCAGTTGCTCTCTCACAGATGTGCCATCGTCTTCCCTCTGTCTTTTTTACAAATACTTTCATGGTAACTGCTCCAATGAGCTGCTTTCATTGGTTCCCAGACTCCATGAATTTAAGCATTCAACTAGGCTGACATCTTGCTCTCACCCTTTCACTGTCAAAACTGTTAAATGTAGCCGTCTCTTCTACTCCAATAGCTTCATATCTCGCACTTCTTGCCTGTGGAACTCCCTCCCCTTTTCCTGTTTCTCTGATAGCTATAATCTCCAACTATTCAAATGTAATGTCAACTGATGTCTCCAGATGCCTTGATCTATCCCCTATCCTTCTCTTCATCCTTTCCTCTATCACTCCTATTTGCTCTCGCTCCAACTCTCTGTAACCCCTTGCCTGCTAGTGGCTTCCCGCCTTGCTTGGTGTGAAACACTTTAAAAAAAAAAAAAATAAACTACCAATATTTATCTTCCCTGAATGAAGTGAATGTTTATAGACTTGAATATCAATATTTACTCATCCTCAAACCAAGTCAATGCATAAAGACAGAAATATAAATGACTGATATTAACCTACTTACAGATGCAAATATAAAAATACAATAAAAAAAACAAACAAAAGTTAAATTGACATTTCTTGTTATAAAAAATGTGTAGCGAGGAAGCAGGAGTTATTTCCCTTGAGTTAACTCTTCTAACTATAGCAGTTGAATAAAGCCTTGTAAAAGAAGGTTTTGCTTTTCACAACAACAATATTAACTTATCCCTGATCCAAATGAATTCTAATAAACTCAAATGTATAAAAAAAACAGTGATTTTGACATGAAATAATCCAACAAGGGATTACATGTAATATCAACTAATCAATGACCCTGTACTGTAACGACGTGATCTCCAAAACTTGTTGGCCCGACACTAGTTATGGGTTGAAAATCATATAAGCAGCCAGTTTTGGGAGCTCAAAACTTCCATGGTGAACGTTTGCATCAGTGCCTTTGGAATCCATGTCAGCTGTCACCAAAAGCTCCTGTCCTAGAACCCTGAATTTCTGACATGGCCCAGTGTCACTATAGAGCTTGATGTGGGAAGGTGTTCATTTTTGTTGTACCTAAGAACTACATCAACCAATTAAATATTAACCCAAGGATCTTTTCATTTTTATTATTTTTTACTTGTGAAGAGATTTCTTCTTTTGATATAGTTCTTGCCACAGGATTCAGTGCTACAATTACTTTGCCATTTGATCTGTCAATGCTCTATGATCAAAAAAACAACACGGGCAGAATGGGTGTGGATAAAAATGTCCCACAACCAACAGCTAGCTTGGATTTATTGACTAGTGCAGAGTTTAGCCCTGTGGTTAAACACATTGATCTAAGTCTCTGAGGATTGAACTGCTAAACGTGGTTACATCATTGGGTGTAGTGACATGGGGAGAGAGTTATATTAGAACAATTTTAAATGTTTTTAATTCCTACATAGTTGAGGGGAGTAATATAAATTATACCATTTTATATTGATATATTATATGATTATATGCAAATTATGGAATGCATACCTGGTTCTTTGATAGGAACAAAAACAAAGCCTGACATGTTTTGTGCATTACAAAGCAAAGGATACTGGCTTTTATATATAAAGATGGATTATATTTAAATTTTTATGAATCTTAAAGCAAAATATAAGAAATCTATAAAAACGAATCATAGGATTTATTTTTTCAGTCTAGTCCAAGAATGGCAATCAGATAACATAGAATAAAAATATTAAATAAAAAAATGTAAAGAAAAGCATTTTTTTTCTGCTCAGATCTGACTGTGTTTCTTAATACAATTTTGGGAATGTTTAACCTTTGTTTGTGAATGCAAAAAAATGCTTATTCTCTTGGCAACATTATTACTGTATACATTTTTGACTCCCTCGGCAATGTTTATTGTTTTAAAAAGTGGTGTTTAGAATTTTAATAAAACACCAAAAATATGAAAGTGAATTTATACATTTTCTTTGTTCTTGAGAATTGGCAAGAAAGATATTAAACATTATTTATTAGATTGCTTATTTACAAGAATAATTTTATCTACAAAAAAATCATGTTTATTCAGAATTACTTGTTCTATAGTTCATTGATATTTTTATAAAATAATGAATAAAAATCCTTTTTCATAGTTATTTACCAAGATAGTAGCACCTGTTAAAGTCCACATGTGGAGATGACCTTGACTTTGAATCACTTTGTGGAGATGACTAAAGAGTCTGATCTTCACCCTGAAAAGTCTGTTGCAGTTGTGACATGGGATACTGGGGGCTAAACCAGGCTGGGAGGCAGAGTCATCTTGGTATTTCTGGTGTCTTTGGTCTTTGGTCTTGATTCTTTTCTCTTCAAAATCAGACATTCTGGACTTTAGAAGGGACCTCCAGATGGTGCAGTCCTCAACAGACTCTTCCCAGATGGAATGGGGAATGATACAATGCTTGAGAGACTCCTTCAGTAAATAGTGAACCCCCAAAAAACACTATGAAAGTATAAAAATATTTTTTTTTTATAGTAAAAATACCAGCAATACATCATACTTATAAAACCCAGGTTGTGTGTGTGTGCGTCTGTTCAACCGATTTCAACAAAACTTCACAGGACTACATAAAATTACCTTGCGGTGGTTCTGACAGCGCCAAAAATGGGAAAAACACAATTGTTTTAGCATGAAATCAATTTGAAAACACAATTAAGAGGCATCGCTGTCGTGAGAATGAAAGGGGGACAACTCATATCGAGTTATACTTATAAAACCCAGGTTGTTTGTGTGTGTGTGTTCATTTATATATGGGATCGGATTTCCTACATTTTTCAACCAATTTCAACAAAACTTCACTTTTTTTTGGCAGGTAGTGTTTCTTATTGTCTTACACACTTTTTTCTTTATTTTTACATTCAGAATGCTTTAAAAATTCCATTTACAAGACAATTGTTTATAATAAAATTCTATTTAATCAGTAGACTCATAACGATTGAAAACAATGTTTTTGTTTGAGTTTGGGTTTGACCAATTTGTAAAAAAACCCCAAAAAACAAAACAAAAAAAACAACTAATTAAGACATGCGTGTCTGTCAACCTTAAACAATAATCTTTGTCAATTTTATTTTTCAGTCTTTATGATGGTTGATACTTGATCTATCTCTTACTGTTACATCCCCGGGCAATGCTGGGCTCTACTGCTAGGTTTTACATAAAAAAAGGACTATCAATACATATTTATAGTAAAATGACCAGCAATACATTTTATCTGTAGTTGAAAGTATACAATTGCATTCAAAATATATTTAGTTGAAGCCATAATTGTGTTCAGATTATTTATTTTTATTTGCATTAAATAACCTATAGAGGTTGATACTCTGTAAAAATAAACAACCAACCACAGTTATTTATAAAATGATAAATAATAAATATTTTTGTACTTGGTTCACATATTTTTATAACCTTGTAAATAAACATTGTTGAGGGTATCAAAAGTGTGTACAGCAATAGCAGTATCAAGGGAATAACTGTCCTTTTGACAAACCATTTTTTTGCTTGCCGGCATGAAGGTTAAACGTTCTTATATAGATTCCAGTTGGCATCAAGAAATGTTAATGAAAAACTCAAATCTGACTTTGTTTCTTTTTTGTCTAGCTTCTAAATTCAGTTCGTGCATATGACCCTGTTCTTGAGCGCTTGCCCTATATGGAAGATGAACTCTCTGGCCTGCTGAACAATATTCACATTGTCCGACGACAGAAACGCTACCTGAGCCTCATGGCAGAACAGTACGAAGAATTACTTAACAAACTGATAAATTCACTACGCAGATGTCAAGATGAAGCAAAAACGTGTTTTTTCGATGAAGACTTGTCTAATCTTGAATTAGTTGTTGAATGGTAAGTAACACAATATGTATACACACATGCACACACGCACATACACAAACAGACATACTTTTTTTTTTAAGCATTTCACCCCAAGCAAGGCGGGAATGCCACTAGTGCACAAAGGGTTACAGAGAGTGAAAGTAAGAGAAAAAACTGGGTAGGAGGAGGGGGTTGAGGAAAGGATAAAAAAAAGAATGGGGATCAAGGTATCAGAAGATGATGATTGATGTTACATTTAAATTTTTGAAGATTGTAATTATTGGGGAAGCAAGGAAGAGGAAGGGAGTTCCACTGTCAGGAAGTGCAAGAGAAGAAGCTGTTGGAGTAGAAGAGGCAGTTACATTTACCTGTTTCAACAGTAAAAGAGTGGGACCTAGTAGAACACTTAAATTCATGTAGTCAGGGGACCAGTGAAAACAACTTGTCAGAGCAGTTACCATAAAAACATTTGTAGAAGAGACAGAGGGAAGCCACATCATGTCTGTGAGAAAGCGATTGGAGTTGAGATGCCAAGTTATATATATTAATAAATATACATATTATCCCTCGCCAATAGCTCCTGAAGATTGTGTCATGTATGAAACTCCAAGTTATCCTAGTGGTGAGTGATAATATGTATATTTATTAATATATACTTAATAGCTCTGCTGTATTACCTAGAGTACCATTTTATTAACACCAGCACTATATGTGTGATATATTATAATTATGTTTATTCAAACAGGTTTGGTTAAATAATCTATAGTTTTATATTCTTTTTTTGTGCTTATTAACATATAAAAAACCTGGCATCATATGGGCATTAGATTCTGAGAAATGGATAAAAATATTCAAAATTGATGGGTATACGAATAATTTTGTTGTTGACTAATATATATATATATATATATATATATATATATATATATATATATATATATATATATATAGGTTTAACAGCAAAATTGTCCAAATCATGTAACAGCATAATTGGCCATCCTCCAAAATGTTTAATATCTAAAAAACCACAAAATTGAGTTTTTTTCCTAGGTTTTCAGATAAGACATTTAGCAATCTTGACATCATTTTTCATAAAAATCGCTGAAAAACCCTTTGAGTTATTCAGCTAGAAAGAAAACAGGGTAAAATCATTTTGTGTCAGCCTCAGTGTCTTCCCAAGTAAGCAATGGTGAGAGGAAAAAATCATTCAAGCCTTCAGTAATGGTACCAACATTCATACTCAGGCTTCCATCTTTAAAATCCATTCAAGAACCATCAAGAGAATGGTGAATAAGTTTAAAAATAAGGGGACAGTAGAGAGGAATCAGGAGGTCACAACAGGAAGAGGGATCATCATTTTAACTTATAGCTAAAGGTATCAATTAGAAAAAAACAACTCAATTCAGAAGACATTTGGCATGTGAGAGGTGTTTCACCTATGACAGTCCAAAGAGTAGTGAAAAAAGATTTGAAAATGAAATCATACATGAAATGTGTGAAGCAACTTGTTACTCCAGGACAGAAAGTTAGAAGGTTAGAGAGGATGAAGATCATCTTGAACAAGTTGGGAAATGATCTTGGAATAATATATATATATATATATATATATATATATATATATATATATATTATTATTATTATTATTATTTACAATATTTATATTAAGACTATTGTCCTCATCTTTGTATTATGTTTTCCTGAGGTGTATATTGATCTAGGTATCCTACAGTGAATTTTGAACCGAGCACTTTATTTAATTTATGAGGGTAGACTTTTCTAGTTGCACTTCCAATGTCTAGGGATATCTCTTCTAGTTTTTAGTACTGCTCAGTTATTGCGCACCCATCTCCACTGAGTCCAGGGATTGAACTCACAACCATAATATCATCAGTTACATGAACCAATGCTTTAATCCACTAGGACAATTTGCAGCTTAAAACCTAACCTGACTGCTGATTAAGGCTGCTGCTGTTGCAGCTTGGCCTGTTTTGATTGCTGCTGCTGCTTCTGAAGCCTTGCTGTAATTTGTCTTTTTTACTTTATTAGTGACTATTTATTATTTATTTGGTATTTATTTCTATGCTAGTCTTATTAATGTGGTCCTCATAGCCTAGAATATGTGCTGATTCTTTCAGTGTTCTTGCTCATACAGCATTTTCACTTCATTCCACAGGGGTTAATGACTACTCCTTTCCATCTATACATGATCAGCCATGCCTGATTTAATTCTCCTACCCCTCACTATGGCTTTTTGATGTTCCTCCAGCCTTACTTTGAGGGGGCAGCTTGTATCAACCTTATATTTTCTGCCACAACTGCAAGGAATTGAATACAAATAATTATAACAGACAAAATTTATTAAGAGCTACAAGAGACAGGAAGTTGTGGAGAGCCATGATTGCTACATCTCAAGGAAACAAAGAAGAAATGTATTCTGTCTATCATCCTGTGTATTTGAGTAATCTTAAAGAGAATATGCCCTCTCTGTCAGGAATTGAACCTGCATCCTCCTTTGTAGGAGAAACCACCATTTGTTTCAGTGTGCTTTACCAATTGGCCAAGAAGTCACAGTGTGGAGAGACTTGACTCTGTGGTATGATTCCTGGCCCTGATTCTCTTATGTCGTACCAGGGCTTATACCTGTTCCTGTGATCTCTTATCCAGACACTTCATCCGGCTTTGGTGGATCTTTAAACTGCGTTAATTTTTTTAAGTCTTTCCACAAAGACATTATGTATAATAATGATAATTCCTCATTCTACACATTGAAACAGACTTTATTCATTGTTATTTTTCTTTTCCAAAAATACATCGAAGTATTTCCTTATGATCTGATTACATTTTTCATTTACTTGATGCAAAGGAAAAATATGTTTGTGATTAGTATGCATTTATTGAAGTATGTTGGCATGAATAGTCAACATGTATTTGGTTGCATCCTTCAGCGACCTATAACACAGTTGCTAAAAAAAGCACTATACACCAACATGAAGGCATGGTGGTGTAATGGATTGTGGCTCAGATTGAGGAATTGGAAAGCCGAGTTGGAATTCCATTCAAATTCATGACATTCACATATGTGCTAATACCCTTGGAAAAGGTATGAATCCAATTTTTCTCCCTCCAGCTATGGGTAAATAGCAGAACAGACTGGGTTCTATAGCCTGGGATGGCAGCCAGTCTAGGAGAAGGAAAAACTTTGAATTCAAAACTAGCCGGGAGATGGTTGGGCTTCATCAGGCTATCTTGCCTAAGACACATCACATGTACTGCGGCTACAGTACATGTGGTGCCCCTATGACCCTGATGAGTCACAGGATTTGTGATTGATCACAAATACAAAATAATAACAATATTATCAATTTTTATATTAATTGCATTTTTTAATTTGTTTTTAAAGATGGTAAAATGTTTATTATTTCACTGGACTTCATAGTTAACCCATTCTGTGAAAATCTGGAGTAACAGCTTAAACCAGATTTAGTCTTTTACAAAATTTTTTTTATTAATTATTAGTTAATAAGTAAAAATTTTTACAGCCCATAAAGGAATGAAAAGCACCAAAAAAGCCTTCATTTTTACATTAAAAGAGAAATTTCTTCCATAAAATTCAAAGTGAATACAAAATTAACATTTAATATTAAAGATGGCAAAATAAGGTTTAATTTTCCACTGGGCTTCATAGCTAACACATTGCATGAAAATTTGAAGTAACAGCTTAAAACAGGTTTAGTCTTTTTCAAAATAATAAATATATTTTTATTAATTTTCAACTTCTATCAATGAATATTTCCTTTAACCAAATCCCAAGAACCCCAGCTATGGGTAAAATAGGACAGACTGGGTTCTATAGCCTTGGATGGCAACCAGTCTAGGTGAAAGAAAACTCTGAATTCAAAACCAGACCAGAGAGGGTTGGGCTCCATCAGGCTTGCCCAAGACACACCTCTTCTACTTTGGCTGTAGTACATATGGTACCTTTATGACTCTAATAAGTTACAGGACTTGTGAGTGTGACATCAACATATCAAATACCAAGATACCATATATTGACTTGAAACCAACCATCTGCAAATTTATTACCAAAAAATGGCAGAAACAATGGAACCAATGCAAGAAGAACAAAAACATATTCAACCAATAATTGGAAAATTGCTCTCAGGTTTTCAAAAAATAAGAAAGGATCAGTTAACCATAACCAGAATATGCATTGGACATACTTATATCACCCACTCATACCTGTTTACAAATGAAGAATCCCCCAATGTGCACTACATGACAGGAACCATCCCCAGTGAAACATAGACTTACAAAACTGTAGTAATGTCGAGCCAATCCAAATAAAGTATTATCAAGTAAATAACTTAAAAAAAAAATTGAAAATATTAAACCAGATGATATACTGGATTTCCTAAAAGACATTAGACTCTAAACCAGAATTGAAATATATATACCAACCTGAAATAATAATTTAGTAGGTACCATAATATTGTAACCTGCCAAGCTACACAAATATTTAAACAAAAATACATGAACAAAATGCAACAAGATACTAATATTGTTTCAGCATTATTGACCCCTATAGTTGTTTATATGTTAGTAGAATAACCAATCAATCAATTTAGCCACCTATACAAATTATTGCACTTAATTTTTATGAATTGTACTGTGAATGTGTTTTATCACACAAGAAAAACCACAAATGAATTGAGGAAATAAGTGTTGTGCTCAGCCTAAGTATAGAAAAGATTTTATTTTTTTAATCATTTTACCCCAAGCAAGGGGTTCCTGAGTGTGAGAGAAAAAGAAAACATTATAAAGAATAGAGAACAATAAAGGAATAGGAATCAAGACAGAAGATAACGATTGACATTGCATTTAAATGTTTGAAGATTAAAATTGACAGGGAAGTAAGTATCCAGAAGAGAGTTCTACAAGTGAAAAGAAAATGTTAGTATAGAACTTACAGTGACATCTAGACATTTCAACTGTAACACAATGAGACCTTTTCACCAATCAAGTACTGCACTTAAATTCATAAAATGTAGGCATCAAAGAACAACACATTGGCAGCAGCGAGACACTGATGAATACTTATTGACTATTTTTGTCGCCCACCACAATAAACGCATGATAATCGCAGCCATCTTTATTTCACAAGTACTGCTATAATCTTGTTTTTGTGGTAATTTCAGTGAATCTGGTCCCTTGACTGTGTCTCAGACAGGTCAATTCTTAGTGCCAGCTTCATGTCCCGGATCTTTGGTGATAGAATTCATTGACCAAAATAAGTCAATGGCTTTGCAGCTTTTATCCGAAATACCTGAGTGAGTATTGATCCTTTTCTTTCATTTTCTGTTGTATCTTTTTTTTAACACATCCATAGTATAAGTTATCTGTATATATGTATCTATACAAAGATTAAGCCATCCATAGTACCACCCCCACTTTCATAAAATATATATATATATATATATATATATATATATATATATATATATGTACCTATACAAATTTAAGTAATCCATTGTACCCCCTTTTCATAAAATATCTGTATATATGTACCTATACAAAGATTAAGGTTACTAGAAACTTTTGAGGATGTGTTTATTGCTGAGATTTTGGGTATACATTATGAGGAAAGAAAACTTGGAGAATGCAACATAAAAATAACAAAAGGAAGTTGTGGAGGACCATGATCACCTAGTACCTGACGGCTCATGGCATATAAAAAGAGAGAATTAGAAACTACTTAGCAGGTTTGAGTAAATGGATAGCAGAGCAAGAACCAGAAAGACATAAAGTAGCAATTATTTACATTATTCGGACTGTTATCCTCATCTTCATTGCCATATTCACAACATTTCAGCTGTTTTACAATCCAGCCTTCTTCAGGTGATTGGAATTTTGAACCAAACCCTTTATTCCAACCACCAGGGTAGATTGTTGTAGTTCCAGGTGCCATGCCTCTTCTGGATGCCTCAGACATGTCCCTCACAGACAACCTTCCATGTATTACAATCAAATGATGTAAAGAATGCACTATAACTGTGAAAATCGCTTTTATTTCGCAAGTACTTTCTATCTCCTTCTGAGATCATCTTCAGGGATGCAAGAGACAAAACTATGTGTTGCTATTCATTACTGAAATTTTTTTCTTTATGCTTTTAAATGCAACAGTTGACAGTCATGCTTAGCGTTCATTAGAATGTGCAAAATTATTCACTTTGGAATTTTTTTCTATGTTGGAATGTCATGGTCATGCACACATTAAAGCATGAAAAACTGTTCCTTTTAGAAAATTATTACAGTATTCATAGCTGATTCTATTCAGTGTCAGCTTCAATTTTTTAAAGTAGATTGCTTTGAGGATCTGTAGTTTTAATTTGTTATTTTCTTGGTGTAGGATAGTTGTGTTATCAATCAGTATTTTTCTATACAGTGAATATGGACAAGTGGGTTGGGGTAAACATCTCGCAATGGACAAATGGTCAGACATGTGTAGAGTAAGATGTCTTATTAATGTAGTTGTTGTATATCCAACATATATATTTGTTTTTTATCAGAGATATATATTAGTACAATAAAAATCTTATTACAAACAAGAAAGTATATCTAGTCTGAGAAACAGTTATATTAAAAAGAGTGCTCAATGCACATGTCAAAAAAAATTGAAAGTGCAGAGCTATTTAATTTAATATTTAAAATAATAAACACTAACCCTTTCTGCTGGTGTGGGGTCCAATAATAAATGGTTTCTTCAGGCAGTGAGAAGGTCAATTGCTTTACTAGTAGAAACAATTTTTTGGTGGAAACTGCTGTAGCATGAAGGGTTAGTGTTTATTATTTAATATTCTCAGGGTCAGCCTGGAAGCAAGTCAGAAGCGTTCTGGAAATGTCAACTTTTCAGCTTCTACTATAGTGTCAGTATTCTTGGGACCCATTTTGCAGAAAGCTTGCCCTTCCCCAAGATCTTGGTCAAAACAGTATGGACTGAATTAGAACTAATGTGTATCGATAGTAAGATGACTGTCATCCAAGACCATATGGTGAATGGCCTCAACTTGTTCATCAGTGGTTTTTAGAAGACCTGACTGTGGGTCATCTTCTGTGCTGTCCCCACCTGGCTTGAATTCCACAGCTCACTTCTTCACAGTTGCATAGGAAGGGAATTCCTTAGCAAGTGTCTGTCTTCATGGATTTTCTTTTCTTTTGCGGATGCTTTGACTGCTTGGACCTCTTTTTTTGTCCGTTTTTAGATTTGTCACACACCCCTCACCTGTGTATGGGCATCACTGGCACAGAAATTAGGACAGAAATCTGAATTAGTTTTATAAGAAGTGGTAGTGTGTTGCCACAGCAAAAATGTTCAGCTATGGCTCTTCTTTCTAGGTGAGGCTTAGAACTTTTTGAACTACTCTTGTATATTATAATAATAATATTGTGGAATTATAGATTGGCTTTAGATCTGTACATGAAATAAAAAGTAAAGATACATAAAAACACAAATATTTTTGATAAGCCATAAAGGTTCTTTTTATTTTATTTATTTTTTTTCTTTTGACAATTTTTGTTCATAATCTATGTAAATTAATATTTTGTAGATTTTTGGAGAAGGAACAACTATTGCATGCAAAATGCCTGGAAGTTTTCCATTTGTCTTCCCTAAGCAAAGATGACACCGTATCTTCTCAACAAATGACGAGTTTTTGTAGCCGACTCTTGGAAAACCAACAAAATCTACTGACCATTATTTCTCTAGAGGATCTCCATATACAAGTGTCACATTATTATTCAGTTATGCAAGATGGCAGAATGTGTGTTCCTTGGGACTGGACAGAGCAGTGAAAAAAGAATGTATGTCCTTTGTGGGACTGGATAGAGCAATGGAAAAAGAATGTGTGTCCTTTGTGGGACTGGATAGAGCAATGGAAAAAGAATGTGTGTTCTTTGTGGGACTGGATAGAGCAATGGAAAAAGAATTTGTGTTCTTTGGGACTGGATGGACCAATGAAAAAAGAATGTGTGCCTCACCCACTTCAGACTGGACGGAGCAATGAAAAATGAATGTGTGTCTGTTGGGACTGGACAGAGCAATGAAAAATGAATGTGTGTCTGTTGGGACTGGACAGAGCAATGAAAAAGAATGTGTGTCCCTTTGGACTGGACAGAAGAAGAACGTGTAACAGGGTTTTTGTTTGGTAGACAGCTTAGGTAAGACAGCGTGTTTTAAAATGTTTTTTCTTTTTGGATGTTATTGTCTACAAGTGAAATGTTATTTTGCCTGCCTGGAATCCACCTCTCCATACAAAACATATTTTTTGGTTTGTGCTTTTTTATTATTCAGGCTTGGCAAGCTAAATCTACAAAAGCAAAAGGTTTAAACTCTTTCACTTTTAAAGAATTTAATTGTCTAAGAAAAGAACCGTTATTTTTTGTAAAGATCTAAATTAAATAACCAAATAAAACAAAATTCTTGGTATTTTCATGCCTAAAGTATAATTTCAGCTGATGGAAACATTTAACTTTTAGCTTGTTATTAAAAATTCTAATCCCATAAAAGCATATTTCCTACAACTGAAATTCATTACAAGAATAATTTTTATCTAATATTAACAATAATGGATTAAATTATAGTTATATAAAATTATTTTCACTATTTACATTCCGACTATTGTCCTCATCTCTGTTGTTGTTATCAAAATATTTTGGCAGGTAGTACTCTCTGGCCTTCATCAGGTGCCTGTTGGTTTGTCTAGCTTTTATTTTTAGAGATATCCCTAAACATGGGCAATAGAATGAGAACAGTCTACCCCCATAAAATAAAGGATTCAGTTTGGAATTCCCTATAGGTTGCCAGGATCGACATACACCTGATGATGGCCAGAGAGCACAATCAGCTGAAACATTTTGATAACAACAACAAAGATGAAGACAATAGTCTGTGTGTAAATACTGATAAATCCTTATCCTAGAAATTCAGACAGAAATTATATAAAATATTGACAAACACCCCAATAAAGTAGTAAGCCTACAAGTTGACGTCTTTGTACAAGTAGATGTACATTAAAACAAATTTAAGTAAAATATTTTTATTTTATTAGTTTATAATATCAGAAATTTGCAAAAAAAAAATATTTTTTAAAAATTGTCTTAAAAATTTAAAGTAAATTTGAGAAAATTTTTTGTCAGTTTCTCTTGAGAGAAAAACATGAAAATCAAATTATTCTAAGATTATTTTCCTAATTTGAAAATTGTACGGAAATTAATTGGATGCATAAAAATTATTTTTAAAGTTGTAAAATTATAAGGAAATGCTTGGGAAAATAACAAAACATTTCCAAAAATTGAAATTCAATATTCACATAAGTTATTTCTTTATAGAACTGTTTAAATCATTGGAGGTCATTTTTAAAAATTTATATAAGTAAAAGATAATTTCAAGAAATCTGTCTGTATATGTTGGCACACGTACATACACACATATATATGTAATGTTAATGTTTAATGTTAAGGTACGTTTCAAGAGTAGATATGATCGTTTGAGAAAGATCATTGAAGATTTGTTGTTTAAAAACAGTAATTCAGACTTTGCTAACTAGACAATTCTTTATGGCTGAATGGTTAACATCAGATCAAATAATTTGTATCTGTTAATAATAACATATAAAAAGAAAATATATTAAATAATTATCAGACTTTTCAGACTTAATCTATTTCATAAAATATATAGCAGAAAACGCTTGGACATGTAAAACATTCAAACAGTTTCTACATAATTTATGTCCAGAAAAAAATTGTAAAAAAAGAGGGATTGCTGCCCAAATACACAATTATATATATATATATATATATATATATTGGCAACATGTTTTCATTGAATAATTTAGACATGTTTTTGTCTACTTTTGAAAATTCAATAGGATCCTTTCATATTCATGGATAAGCTTTTTGGTATTCTTATTGAAGGATGAGAGAAAATTGCTGTGTTGATACATATTTTGTTTATTTCCAAGTACTTTTGCCATAGCACGTCATCATCAAGGTATTCTTTATTACAGGATAAATATTGTAGTGTTCATTATTGTAAAGGACAATATTGTTGTGTTCATCTGAAAGTTAAATTTCATATATGTGGAGTGAGGAGTGCTGATTTTGTGTGAGACCACTGACACTGTTTAAGGGGAGGTAACTAAGTATAGTGTGGTGAGTTTGTTTACAAAATGAGTAGTAAAAAAAGATAGAAACTATTTACAAAACTTGTCATTTCAAACTATTATATACATTTTAATACATTTGTGAAGTATTCATAATTAATTTTATTAAAGTTTGGTTTCAATTTTTTAATTTAAATAGTTTTCAGAATTTTTAGTTTATGTATATTCTTTTCATGAAAATGTATAGAGGTATTTTAACAAGAATTTTTCTGAATTGCAAATGTGAACAAGTATGTTGTTGTAAATATTTAGAAATGTTGGACGTATTATTCAAATGAAAACTTAGCTGCTGTAACAACGTTGTTGTAGTGTGTCCAACATAAATATTATTTTTACCATTGGAGATACAATCTCCCAGAGGACATTTAAATTTATAAACAATGTTGGTTTTCTGCAACACATTAGTGAGTGGGGAAGAGTCATTATGAATGATTGTATTAGATGTAGTAGATTTAGTGTAGTATATAATTAATTTTATTTTTTACTAGGAACTGTGGTGGATATATTAGTTTTATTAATTTTTTTTAAGGATATTTTTATCTTACTTATAGTTAGCATGCATTTGGTTACAATATAAAAGGTTGATATATTTTGGGTTAGTTGAAGAAGTATTATATTGTATTTGTTTAGTATAAAGATCTCTAATGAAGGCGATATGATAACTCCTTGTCCAAGAAAATCAGAAATTACCAGAAATGTGTGTGTGTGTGTAAATTTGATTTTGATTGTATGTTTTTTTTTTATAATTTATGTTAGAATTTTTGTCCTTATTGTTTGGCTTGTTATTCAAACCTGCTTACTTGTCTTGACGGTTTTTACAACAACATATTCACTGTTATACTACTTTCAGACCTTCTTCAGGTAGAGTCGGTTGTCATACATGATAGCCTTTTTTTCCCTGGTGGCCCAACTATATGAATTTAAGCATGTTACTAGATTGGAATCTAGGTCCCACCTTTTTACTGTTGAAATAATTAAATGAAACCTTCACTTCTACTCCAACATTTTCTTTTCTCACACTTCCAGCCTGTGGAATTCCCTTCTATTTACTTACTTCCCTGATAACTACAATATTCAAAAATTTAAATGCAATCATCATCATCTTGAATCCTATTTATCTTTTATCCTTTCATTAATTTTCCCCCTATACCCAGTCTTTTCTCACACTTTAACACTCTCTGTAACCTTCCCCCCGGGGTACTAGTGGCATTCCCGCCTTGCTTCAGGTGAAATGATTAAAAAAAATCGAATTGAACTCTTTATTCGATCACATTGATCTCATTCCACTTTCCATACTCAGGGGAAATAACTCATGTCAGTTTATACTTAGTGGGGAGATAACTCATGTCAGTTAATTCTTAGTGGGGAGATAGCTCATGCTATAGTTAAGTCTTAAGGGAAAGAAATCGTATTAGTTAATTCTCAGGGGAGATAACTCCTATCACTTAACGCTTAGGGGAGATAACTCCTATCACTTAACGCTTAGGGGAGATAACTCCTATCACTTAACGCTTAGGGGAGATAACTCACACCATCCTTGTCTGAAAGAGGCACTTTCGGTAAAAACGTATTATAAACATCTACGGCGGGAATGTGTTAATAGTCTTATTCCCCTTTGTATTGTTTGCCAAAGTGATTTATGGCCTAGTACAGCATTTTTAAAACTTTTTTTTTACTGTGACCCACAATGAGAACCACATTTTGCATTGCAACCCATTATATCAACATGTAATAAATCATACAAATTCTGTTCATTAGGTTTATTTATTTAGCATTGACAATTTATATGTATGTTTCTTATAATCTGCCCATATTGGAATTGCATGTATTGGTTTGTATCATCTATTTGTATGAATATAAAATTGTTACTTTTAGAAAAACAAATTTAAAGTGAATAATCAGTAACAGCTTTGATGAATAAGATGCATAAACTCAATGAGAACAGACTATATATATATATATATATATATAATAAAATATATAAAAGGTTAATGGTCAGAGTTGAAGTAGACCAGGAAAGAGTAGTATAAAAAAGTGCTCAATACACGTGTGAAAAAAAAACAAAAAAACATGTAGAGCTTTAAACTTTAAAAATTAGAAGGTCAGATAAAATACACAACTTTGGTTTCAACCTCATGGTCTCATCAGGCTAATTCTATCAACTGACCATCCAACGCTTTATTTTTAAAAAAAAAACACAAAGAATACTACATTATTATTTTTCAAAAAGAAATAAATAAATGCACGATGGTCAAACGCATAACATTGAGTGTAATAGAAAGAAGGTGGTTAAGGAAAAGAAGAAGAAGAAGAAGGGTGAAGAGAATAAGAAAAAAGAAGAGTGTATCATAAATGTGAAAAGAAGAAGAAGAAGAAGAAGGGTGAAGAGAATAAGAGAAAAGAAGAGTGTATCATAAATGTAGAAAGAAAAGAAGAAGAAGAAGGGTGAAGAGAATAAGAGAAAAGAAGAGTGTATCATAAATGTGAAAAGAAAAGAAGAAGAAGGGTGAAGAGAATAAGAGAAAAGAAGAGTGTATCATAAATGTGAAAAGAAAAGAAGAAGAAGAAGAAGAAGGGTGAAGAGAATAAGAGAAAAGAAGAGTGTATCATAAATGTGAAAAGAAAGGAAGAAGAAGAAGAAGGGTGAAGAGAATAAGAGAAAAGAAGAGTGTATCATAAATGTAGAAAGAAAAGAAGAAGAAGAAGAAGAAGAAGGGTGAAGAGAATAAGAGAAAAGAGTGTATCATAAATGTAGAAAGAAAAGAAGAAGAAGAAGAAGAAGAAGAAGGGTGAAGAGAATAAGAGAAAAGAAGAGTGTATCATAAATGTGAAAAGAAAAGAAGAAGAAGAAGAAGAAGAAGAAGGGTGAAGAGAATAAGAGAAAAGAAGAGTGTATCATAAATGTGAAAAGAGAATAAGAGAAAAGAAGAGTGTATCATAAATGTGAAAAGAAAAGAAGAAGAAGAAGAAGGGTGAAGAGAATAAGAGAAAAGAAGAGTGTATCATAAATGTGAAAAGAAAAGAAGAAGAAGAAGAAGGGTGAAGAGAATAAGAGAAAAGAAGAGTGTATCATAAATGTAGAAAGAAAAGAAGAAGAAGAAGAAGAAGGGTGAAGAGAATAAGAGAAAAGAAGAGTGTATCATAAATGTGAAAAGAAAAGAAGAAGAAGAAGAAGGGTGAAGAGAATAAGAGAAAAGAAAGAGGTATCATAAATGTAGAAAGAAAAGAAGAAGAAGGGTGAAGAGAATAAGAGAAAAGAAGAGTGTATCATAAATGTAGAAAGAAAAGAAGAGTGTATCATAAATGTAGAAAGAAAAGAAGAAGAAGAAGAAGAAGGGTGAAGAGAATAAGAGAAAAGAAGAGTGTATCATAAATGTGAAAAGAAAAGAAGAAGAAGAAGAAGGGTGAAGAGAATAAGAGAAAAGAAGAGGTATCATAAAATGTGAAAAGAAAAGAAGAAGAAGAAGAAGGGTGAAGAGAATAAGAGAAAAGAAGAGGTATCATAAATGAAAGAAAGAAGAAGAAGAAGAAGGGTGAAGAGAATAAGAGAAAAGAAGAGTGTATCATAAATGGAAAAGAAAAAAGAAGAAGAAGAAGAAGGGAGAAAAAGAAGAGAATAAGAGAAAAGAAGAGAAGAAGAAGGGTAAATGAGAAAAAAAAAGAAGAAGAAGAAGAAAAAAGAAGAGAATAAGAGAAGAAGAGTATCATAAATGTGAAAAGAAGAAGAAGAAGAAGGTGAAGAGAATAAGAGAAAAGAAGAGGTATCATAAATGTGAAAAAGAAAAGAAGAAGAAGAAGAAGAAGAAGGTGAAGAGAATAAGAGAAAAGAAGAGGTATCATAAATGTAGAAAGAAAACAAGAAGAAGAAGAAGAAGGTGAAGAGAATAAGAGAAAAGAAGAGTGTATCATAAATGTAGAAAGAAAAGAAGAAGAAGAAGAAGAAGGGTGAAGAGAATAAGAGAAAAGAAGAGTGTATCATAAATGTGAAAAGAAAAGAAGAAGAAGAAGAAGAAGGGTGAAGAGAATAAGAGAAAAGAAGAGTGTATCATAAATGTAGAAAGAAAAGAAGAAGAAGAAGAAGAAGAAGGGTGAAGAGAATAAGAGAAAAGAAGAGTGTATCATAAATGTAGAAAGAAAAGACGTAGAAAAGTGTCATGTAAATTTAAGGAAATGTGTCTTGTAAATATAGGGAAGGATCAGGGAAGCAAATGTATTGTAAATATAACAGTGGAGGTTTTAAATATTTTTTTTTATTTGGCCTCATATTCACTTAACAACAATTTTTTGATATGAAGGCAAGGACTTAAGATTTTGGATTAAAATGTTTTTTGGATCTGGAAATGTCATAATTGCAAATTTCTCATTTTGACAAAGGTAGCAAATGCAGTTATGATTGTTATATTTACAATATATTTGTTTCACTCCCTTATCCTTCCCTATATTTATAAGACACCCTTCCTTAAATTTACATGACACTTGCTTTTCTTTTCAATTTCTTTTCTTATACCTTTACAATACACTTGCTTTCTTCTTTTCTTTTATTGTCTTCACATTTCTTCTTATTTTCTTTCTTCTTCCTACTCCTTACCCCCTCCCCACACACCTTTCTATTACATGCAACATTATGCATTTGACTGTCATTTACTTATTTTTGAAAAATAATAATTTAGCATTCTTTGTGTTTTTTTTAAAAAATAAAGTGTTGGATGGTCAGCCTGATGATACCGTGAGGTTGAAACCAAGGTCACGTATTCTATGTGACCTCTTAATTTTTAAAGTTTATATATATATATATATATATATATATATATTTAAAAAAATAAAATATAATACGATCTTGCCTCAGTGTAAAACTAGCAATGATGTCTGAGTGCTGTGTAGCTTTTAAAGTTATTTATATTCTACACTTTGATCCTATTTATTTATTTTTTTCTTTCTTTCTTTTTTGTCGCAACCCATTTTATTTATCTCATGACATACTGAATGGTTGGGACATACAGTTTGAAAAAGTGGGTAAAAGCTTTAGTTAAAATATATCTGGTAGGAAGCCTGTTGTGAGTTCAAACCCTGGATGTGGTAGTACTGAAATGTCACCTACCCATTTTTAGTGGAAGAAACAGACAAATAGCACAAAGGTGAATAAAACTGGTATTAATTGATATTAACAAAAGACTCCTGAAGAAGGTTGAAGAGTAAAATGGTTGAAATGATGTATGTATAACAAGTAAGCCAGAATAATAAAACATATAATGTATTTTTGGCAAACATAGACTTTTGTGCCTGCAAAAAAATCATAGTATCAAAAAGACAGTTTTTCCATTGACTCTGCTATTATTTTAATTACCTTCACTTCTTGGCAATGTTTATTGTTTTAAAAAGCAATGATTAGAATTAAAATAAAATCTGAACATATGATGAAAGTGAATTTATACATCTTTTGTTCTTGAGAATTCACAACAAAAATATTAAACACTATTTATAAGATTGTTTATTTACAAGACATTTAAAACCTAATACAATACCATTCTGAGTATGATGATAAACTACATCTGCATCCTAGGTGAGATGATTAATTGCATCCAACGGTAAGGCCTCTGATTGGGAGGTTCTGAGGAGCATGGAACCACCTCTTGGTTGCTGGTGTTCCTGGATCCACTCTGACCCAGGGTGGTGACACCTGTTAGGGTCCCAGCTACGGGCAAGTAGTTAACCCCAAACTGAGGTCAAAACACTATGAAAGTGTAAAAATAGGTTTTAATACCAGCAATACATTTTTGTAAAAATATTACCAGCAATGAATTTTTGAAGAAAAAAAATTATTACCTGTAATACATTTTGGAAAAAAAAAAAAAAATTAACAATACATTTTTGAAGAAAAAAATATTACCAGCAATAAAAATCTTGCTGGCATTAAATAACCCATTGAGGTTGATATGCCGTAAAACAAACCAAACTAATGTGATATCATTTAATGATTTATCATTTACCAAATTATAAAGAAACAAATATGTAAACAATTTTAATAAATTTATACATATTTTCTAAATTATTAAATATGTGAACTATAAGGAAATGCTTATTATTTATCATTTTATAATTTTGAATTGATTGGTAATTAACCAATGTTTTGTGAACCATTCTAATAAATAATATAATAAGTAAATAGTATAAATAAACAATCAAATAATTAAATAGTGTTTATTGTTTATGTTGTCAATTCTCAAGAAGAAAATAAATGTATAACTTCACTTTCATATGTTTAGGGTTTATTGCAATTCTAATCATCACTTTTTAAAACAATAAACATTGCTGAGGAGTGATGGTAGTTAAAAAGGCATTGTCATAGAAAAAAAAAGTCCTTTTGGCACTCCATCTTATGGGAGGCATGTTTATCCATGTTTGCCACGTGTTTCTACAGAGTGTCAATTCAGGATCTTTTTCTTAATCACTCGGAGAACATCAGTGTCAAGTTTCGTCTGCTTAAAATCTAAGAACTCAAATTTACAAGTCTGAAAATGAGTGGTTATTTTTCTTAGATGAAGTATTATTGTTATTAATTTTGTCTACTCACTGCCATTGATCGAATGTCTGAGCAAAGTTGCAATAAAAACAAAAATAAAAATAAATACTAGTCAAAAACTAATAAAAATGGTTGACAATGCTTTAATAAAAAAAATAAAGATGAAAGTACAAGCAAAAGTGGTTAACATGAAAATTAACATATATTAGTAAAAAAAATTTTGATGTTTCAATATACTTCATCTATATCTGTCTATATTTCTGAGATGTCATATTGTAATTATTTACACTCTTTATATTGTTCTCACTGTTGTCCTCATCTTTGTGGCCATATTCATGACATTTCGACCATTGTATGCTCCAGCTTTCATCAGGAGTTTCAAACTGGACCCTTTATTTCGTCTAGTGGTGTAGATATCTAGTTCCACATGCCATGCCTCTTCTGGATGTATAAGTATCAATTATCTCCCTTTAACTAAACTCTTCAAGTTTTTGTTTATCTCTGCAGGTATTGAACTCACAACTTTCAAGAGTACATGGCACAGTAGATAAAAGCTTTGGTTAACCCAAAGAATTGTGAGTTCAATATCTGGCTACTCGAATAAAAACTCGAGTTAAGCATAACTGAGATATCTGAAAGAGGCATGGTATGTGGAATTAGAACACTCTACTCCAGTGGATGAAATAAAAGGTTCTGTTTGAAATTCCAATTACTTGAAGAGGGTCAGAGTGTACAACAGTCAAAACATTGTGAATATGGCAATGAAGATGAGATAAACAGTCCAAACGATGTAAATAGTATAAATAATGCTTCATCTAATAAAATTAAGGGATGAAACCAAATACTAGTTAAAATTTAATAATAATAAAAATTATAACAATAATGTACTTTTCAAAATATTTGCTTATGGCCAAATCACTGAGGTTAAGCAACGCTGAGCCTAGTCAGTACTTTGATGGAAGTTCACTTGGTAATACTAGGTACTGAAACCAAATTCTTAAGATCTGAAATGTATTTTGGCTTTATCCAACAAAGGGTGGCTTATGGCCAAATCATATTGAAACATTGGTTCCCGTACAATCACTGAAGTTAAGCAACGTTGAGCCTAGTCAGTGAGTGTCCACTTGAGAATTGAAATCAGAGAGTGGAGTTTCAATTCCAGTTGGGTTCATCATATTCACTTACGTGCAAATGCTCTTGGGAAAGGTATGAATCCATCTCTTCTCCCCTAGCTATGGGTTAGATAGTAGGACTTGTATCACTAAATCATTACTATTTCCCAAAAATATTTTCTGACTTGCAAAAACAAATCAACCACAAAGGGTTGATAAGCCATAAAAAAAAGAACAAATCAGTCAATATTCAAAATATTTTACTTTGCTGAATCCATGAGATTTGGCATTTTAAGAAGAATTGAATAAAATATTAAAAAAGAAATGTAAATGAGTATATCTTGATAACGGAAAAGTCAAGAAAAAATTAAAATTTCTGAATCTTCTTTTTTTTTGTACGAAAAATATATTAAAGATGGTGATGTTAAGTGTGAAAATGTTGGAAATGAAAATAATTATTTTGATAATATTTGTGGAAATTTTATTGGAAATGTGGTTCTAGGCAGATTAGCTATGGTTGCCTATAAAGGCAGGTCTGTTCTCCGCCCCTTATCTATTTGTAATTAAATGCTAAATAACCATAAAGCCAGAAATTGATGTTTTCATGTTTCATCTGTACCTCCCCACAACACACACACACACACACACACACATGCAAAGAATGATTTAAAATATTCTCAGATTTCATTTTTCTCCTGAAAAATAATATACTGTATTTTGCAGCATCTAGGATGTACATTGTGTCATATACGTCTCACCCCAGATCAAGCCGGAATGGACTTTGCATTCAGTGTCCTCTATAGAAGCCAATTGCGTTAATTCTGCGGTATGACCCACTGGCTACCAAGTGGAAATCCATATGGTGGGCACAGCTAGAATAGAATATACTGTGCTATCCCAGCAGTAAAAGGGCAGTCTCTCAGACATTCTACACAAGAATGTAAGGTCCACATTTTAGATGAAGCGCCTGGCACCATTCACACATACTGGCTAATAAGAACTGATAAAATCAGAAGTTGAATAAAATGCAACAGAGTCTTTTATTAATCGTATAACTTCATTATACTTGAATTTCACCTAAGAAATATGAGAAAAATAAAATTGTTAAATTTCTAGAATAAAATAAGAAATACTAGAAAAATAAAATAGAGATAATTTCTAGAACAAAGAAACTCTAGAAAAATAAAATAGAAAATTTTTAGAACAAAGAAACATGAGAAAAATAAAATAGAAAATTTCTAGAACAGAATAGGAAATACTAGAAAAATAAGATAGAAAACTTCTAGAACAAAGTATGAAACACTAGAAAAATAAATTTGTTCAATTTCTAGATAAAGTAAGAAACAC